TTTTGGGATAATGGCTGAAACTGAACCAATGTCTTGCATGGCTAAATTCGTCAAAAAGAAGTACATGGAGATGTGAAGATGGTGATCACAAACAACAGCTGAGATGATGAGAAGATTCCATGTTACTGCCATTAAATAGAGTATCAGTAGTAAAACCACATGCATAATCTGTAGCTCCCAAATCTTTGAGAATTCCCAGAGAAGAAACTCTGAAGTATCATTATCCATTCTTAAACAGTACACCACAGGAAAAGAAAAATAATTGTTAAAATATTTCCTATTCAGTATAGCTCAGAGTGAGTTGCAGAAGGATGGTTCAGATTTTAGTGAAGATCATATTAAAACTTTGTTCTAAAAATTATTGAAATATTCTGGGTATAATGAAAATGTATTTTCTTAAAATTCGGGATTACTCTTAAAAGTTTTTAACCCCTGTCAATTCTTATGGATTTTCTTTATAATGTGGGGTTTAAAGATATTTGAAATTATTTATTTAATTAAAACCATTTTCTTACACTAACTTCATTGGAAGTGAGAGCCTAAAGCAAAAAAATCAAATCAAATCAAAGCTGCTGGGAAGTTAGAATTGAAGGCAAGTATATTCAAATATGTCAATGTGAAAATAATTGAGGTTAACCCTCTTTTTTTAATAGTTTCTTCCTCTTGAACAGGCATAGTTCAGGCAGTACTATACACTATAACTATCTGTTGAAATAAATTTTACCTGTCATAATATATATATTAGATAGAAAAGGACTTGAGATTTTACATGAATAGCTCTGGGATTCTGTGTTCAAGATTTGTAAATACAAAATTACAATATCTACTAAATTCTTCTTTTAATTGTAATAGAAATAACTTACTTGTCTTGGGTTGCAATTAACCATATTTATTATTTTGGAGCCTGTATGGAGAGAATTTTTTTGTTGCATTATTTTTAAGCCATCATTTACTTATTTTTTAAATATACATAAATGGCCCTAAATGAACGGTGGGATTTGAATTATGGTATTCATTACACTTGTTAATTCTTTCAATGACCTTCTCATTTACACCTTGATCTACACAATATGCTGATTGAACAAATGATTTAAAATCAAAATTTTCATTCTATTTGACAACATAATTTGAATTAAGAATACCATATAGTCACTTGTTTATCAAGTAAAAGAAAATGTTTTGAAAGAGTCAATTTTAAAAACTGACAGAGCGCTAGTTTTTAATGTTATATATAAAATGAAACTGAGGCCATACTTCAATAGATTACAGGAAAATAATTGAAATTAAATTACATGAAACCATGGTAATCCTTCTTAGTTAGCCAAATCTCATTAATCTGAATAATTGAAGAATGTCTGTGCAATAACTGAAGGTGGAAATGAAAGGGAGAACTGGGAAAAAATATTGTTTTCTCTGCTTGATTAATTTAGAATGTTTTAAGTTCTGGTGCTTATTTTCACCCCTTAAATAAAAGTTACTGAAGAATTATTTAGGCAGCCAACTATAATCTGCATTTTGCTGGAATTTTAATTGCAAAGAAAAGGGAAGACATATGAATATTTAAATGAAGAAAGGAACAAATAATGCATAGTTCAAAATAAATATAGATAAATGACTCACCAACTTCATTCATTTTTATTCATGCAGATTTCTTTCCTTTTTTCTTGTTCTCCTTCTAAAGCTAATAAAATTTTATATTATACTGTAGTTTCATGAGATTTTATCAATTTTTTTTCTTGCCATTTCCCCAAGGATTTTTTTTTAAAAAAGGACAATCTCAGTTCATAGTATAAATAACCTATGGGGAGCAGGATGGATTTAAAAATAAAATAAAAGAGATAGCCCAAGTGTCTTTATTATTATAATGGGAGGGAGAAGGCTTAATGTGTAGGCTGAATAATTAAAAAGTTATGAGCAGTTAATCTGATTTTATCAGATTTATAAAAATCTATGTCTCAATTTTATAATATTTTAGTTTTAAGTTAAGGATGATATATTGTTAATTCCTTCTATCATTTATTTTGGTTTTCTGGAGTAATTACTGTCACTTAATACTCAAAAAATTCATGCAGCAAATTGTACAATTGTGATTAGAAAATTAGATGTTTTGAATTCTTTAAATAATGAAAGGATAGTGACATGCAGCATTATTCTGATTTTTTGTGACATATTGTAAGTGATCCCTAAAAAAGCTTGTCAGCCTGTTTTCTGTGTATTATCTTGAATATACAACATTTTGCTAGTGACAGTTGTTCTCAGCCATATTTTGGAGAGATTGCAATCATAATGGGAATACTGATGGTGAAAAAGAAATAAAAAGAGATTACACTTTTAGGTAATGTAACATCTATCTTTCTCTTACACACACATACATTTCAAGAAATATATTGCACAGTTTGTCCTTCATATGTCAAAATATAAGAAAGTTGTGCAGCAAACTCACAGAAGCCACCACAACTTTCCAAAATTTCATTTCCTCGGGAATGATGGCTCCTGGATTTTGAATACATTCTATAAATGAGCCCATTATATTAAATATATATGTTGTGAATTCCTTTCTCTGTGAGGTAACCTTAAATATGAATCATTTTGCAGGCTGAATTTCTTCTTTTGGAATATGGAAAATATTGGGAATCACATATACAAATAAACACATATTTTACTCCCAGTTTATTTTAGAAATGAGTGAAAAAATGATAATGTTCCTCATAACCTTCATATTTAATAAAGTTTTATTAACAAACATTTCATTATATGACTATTAACCCATCACGCCAAAGTCTATATATAAAAGAGGCATCACAAAGTGCTCCTGTGATGGAAGAAAAGTAGCCCAAACATCCCTAGGGGGGAAAAAGGGAAAGCGTTGGTGAGAAGAGATTCAATTATAGAGTATTAGAACCAGCACTCTGCAGATTAGATATTCAATCTAATGAAGTATGTTGCCTTCCTGGAGCAAAAATCAAAGATGTAGCTGAAAATAATCAAGCCTACGGATTATTCCCCTTTCTCATTCTTCACATAAGGATGAACAGCACAAGAATGAACCTAAAAACAATACAAAGAGTTAGGCAAGAAAGTTAAAGAGTTAGGAGTACAAGTGGTATTTTCATCTATACTTCCAATGATAGGTCAACTTCCAATAAGAGAACAAAGGTCTTTAGAAATGAACAGATGGCTCAAGGGTTAATGTCAGAAAGAAAACTTTGGATTCCTAGACTATGGCCTGCATTACTTCCATGAGGATTTTTAGCTGCCCTTTACAAAAACAGGAAGAATGTTTTTTGAATATAACTGGCTCAACTTATCCTGAGGGATTTAAACTAAAAATGAGTGGGTAAGGTGATCAATATTTAAGATCTCTAGGACAATCTGTAGGATTTTTAGGACTTAATCCCAAACATAAACCCCAACATAACCAATCACATAATGATAGGAAGAGTGGAAAATCCAGTTGCAAAGTAGAAGATAAAAAAAAACTTACCCAGGAGCCATAAAGGAGTCAAATGTCTATATACTAATGCTCAAGTCTAGGGAACAAAATGGGTGAACTTGAAGTACTAGTACATAAAGGCAGATATGATATAGTTACCATTAGTGAAACTTGGTGGGATGAAACTAGTCTGGAATATACTGATAAAAGGATAGAAACTAGTCTGGAATATACTGATAAAAGGATAGAAACTTCAAAGGAAACAGACTTAACAAAAGAAAAGGTAGAGTTGCATCATATATAAAAGATCACTACATCTCTACCGAAATGCACAAAACCAAGGATGAAAACCTCCTAAACTCCATATGGGTCAATATAAAAGAAAAAAAATTACATATTTATAGACATTTACTACAGGCCACCCAATGAATCAGAACTTTTTGTTATAAAAAATAACAGATGTATGTAAGAAACATACCACAGTAGTAATGGGGGGCTAACTATCCTGATATCCTGATGGGAGACAAACTGCAAAAAGGGAGATTAAACAAACCTAGCTGATAATTTTGTCATCCAGAACAGTGGTCACCAACCAGTTGGCCGGGGACCACTGGGGTCCGTGAGAAAATTTTGGTGGTCCACAGAGAAATGTCACCCCCAAAGCACCCCCCAAAGCAATTAATCCAGGCTGTGTGGGAACACAAGGCTGCACCACCCACATAGCCTGTGGGAACACAAGGCTTGCATCGCTTGCATTGTGAACAACACGAGGTAGTGAGGGGAGGGGGGGAAAGGGCAGAGGGGAGGAACTTGCCCTGTGTGCCTCACCGGGCTGCTTTTTTCTGCTTCTTTCTTCTTCTGCTTTTGGCTGCATGCAAGGAAAGCACCAAAAGTTTTTCTTTCTCTTCCACAAACTCCACCATAAATGAGTCTTTGGGACCCTGCAAGGCATCCTAATCCAAGAGGTTGAGCCATTCTGGTGGAATTTAGGGGAGAGAGAGAAATACTTCTGCTGCTTCTGCTGCTTTCCTTGCATGAAGCCAAAAGTCTCTCTCTCTCCCTCTGAGAACGGATCTGGAGATGGTATCCTGTGATCCCAAATAAAGAATGATTCATTGGTAAGAAAACAGGGTGGGGAATTTTCCTGCAAACTTTTTGGGGGATTTTCCCAAGGTCTCTGGTCTACGGGATTTAAAATTATGAGTTTGGTGGTCCCTGAGGTCCAAAAGGTTGGTGACCCCTGATCCAGAAGATAGAGGAGGGAAAAAGCTATACTGGACTTAATTTTTACAAATAAAGAAGAAGTGATAGGGGGAATTGAAGTTTCCAGAATTTTGGATGAGAGTGACCATATCATGCTGGAATTCAATATAATGAGCCAATAAAAGTAAATGTGCTCAGAGAATAAAAATTATTAAAGTAGCCTCCATGAACTTGCTTAGAATTGAACTTGACTTGAAGGAGACTGCCAATATGAGTTGGACACATCAAAGAAAATGTTAGCAGACTGGTTTTAAAAATACTAGAGTGCTAGAGTAATTTGCCTGCAATAGGAGTGATGGTTTTATCAACTGTATATTGCATGTATATTTTTCTCTTCCTGATCAAATGCAAACATAGATAAGTACACAGTTCCTACTTCTGTAAAATAAAATAATCTCTGACTAAGAAGTCTTGAAATAGCAAGTTTGATGTCCTTGTTTCTCATGCTGTAAATCAATAGATTAGTCATGGGTGGAATAATGGAATATAGCATTGTAATTATGTAGCCAAGGTAGGATGAATTGTCAGATATGTCTCTTAGGTAAGCAAAGAAAACTGTAAACACAAATAGGGAGAAGACAATAAGATGTGGCAGACAAATGGAGAAGGCCTTTTTCCTTCCTTGAACCAAAGGAATTCTCAGAACAGCTGAGCAGACATGCACATAAATTACAAGGACAAAAATAAAACAACTGAGTGTTAACATAGTACTGAAGATTATAGCTCCAATTTCTGATGCATATATACCTGGACAGGCAATCTTAAGTAAATAAGGGAATTCACAGTAGAACTGATGAATAATATTAGAACAAAGAGAGGTAATAAAAGTAAAAATAGTATGTAATGAAGCATTGAGAAAGCTGGCAATCCATATGCCACCAATCATTTTGGTGGAGGCTTTCCTTATCATTTCATATTGTAAAGAGTTACAAATTGCAATATACCAATCATATGCCATCACAGGTCAAGAAAAACAAAAAGAACATGAACATGACGTTACTATAATGAACAAAGTCGGGCGGGGTGAAGATGGAGAGAAGTTCTAATATGAAGGTTCAATAATGAAAACTACATGAGCAGTAAATTTGACCTTGTTAGTATTTAAGCTTTTTTCATTATGAAATGTTTTATTTCTAAAATAAGGATGGCATGTTATCAACTCTTATTAATTTTGGTTATATGAGGTGAGAAATTCCACTTCAGCTTAATTACCTTTATTTATCACATACAAGACTTTTGTTGCTATTCATGCAATTGTCCAATTGGATTTTTCCTTAATTAATGACAATGTGTACTTCTATTCTGAATTCCATGTGGTAAAATGAATCACCAAAAATACTTTTCAGCCTTTTTCAAACTGTCTATCTATGGTTTTAAGGAACCATATACATTTTAAAATATTTTTTCAACTAGTTTATGTGCTCAGTTAGAAATATCTTCTCTACTGATGACATTTTTTAAAAAAATGACTAACACTGCTATTCCTCTTCTAAATTTTCATCACTGAGACATATTACGATTTTGCCCAATAGGGACCCATTGATTTAATGAATGAATGATTGAATGACTGATTTCTAGCCCATCACTCAGTTTAAATAAAGGGTTATACATTGATTAAAAATATAATAAGTCAAAATAACAGAATCATTAAAAAGAAAAGATGTCTAAACAAAAAAAAAATCAGAATGACAATGAAAGTAACTCATAGATAGTATATACCACACCTTTCATCAATATAGCAAGATCAGAGAAGACTACTGGGCCTCTTTAGATGACAGTGATTGATAAATGGGATCATAAACATGACTATACTGTTAGAAATGAGAGGACAAACCCAAATCCTAGTTGTTATATCTATAGTTCATGTACCAAAGCTGCTACCAGAGCATTCTCATAAAATATTCATAATATCTTTGCCACTTCATTCTGGACTACCTCAAATCTCTGAGTGGTTTTTAAAAGTAGCAACATATATTTCAGTTACCAAGAGAAAAAGTTACTGAGGCATATCTTTTAGTTTACAGGTTCAACAGATTATAATTTATAGAAACAGATATTTTACAGCATCTGATGTAGTTATTGTTGTGAAAGATTTTTTAATGGATGAAATTAAGATGCCACATAAACTTTCCATTTGAAAAAGATTTCCAAAGACACAATATACCCTCAATTCTATGGGTTTTTAGCTTATAAATTGAAAAAGGTGTAGTTGTTAATGAAAGACAAAAAATAGTATCCCTATATTTCATTTTTCATGTTACATATCTTTTGAGCAATATACAATTCAATAAAATCCTGCTTCCTGGACATTTTGAAATTAATTGCACCATCTAGTGATAAAAATATAATAGAATGGATGAGTCGTCTGAAACTATTAAATTTATTGGAAAACTATGAAAATGAACCTTTTATTCTTTTTCTCATGCCCAAATGACAACATGGCATCATGCAGACCTTAGTATTGATAAATAAAACCTGTTATATCTGAAATTATATTTATATTGTGATTTTTATTTTAGAGCAATTACTGATATTTCAAAAAAGTTTCAGTCTTTCCTATGCTAAAGGCTAAATGTCATTATTATTTTGCTTGTTTCTACTTGCTGGAAGTAATTATAACCTTGACATTTACAGCTGTATAGAGAAACACAAATTATTTAAAAAAAATGCGAGATCCACAAATTATTTATTGTAAATACTTTCTTTAAAATGCTTCTTCTTTAATCCTCCCCTTCTGGCACTCCTTGTTCTTTGTTCTCCAGAATCACCATTTCTATAGTTGTACAGCAATACAGCAGAATTCATTTCTTTCATGTAACATTTCCTTTATGTTTCTTAGTTCCATTTTTATTTCCAAGAAAAGTTCTGCCATTTTTGTACACTTCTTTTAGATTTTCTTTATTCCTTCTTTAATAATTAAATCCAAACCAATTGTCCAAAACCAAGTTTTTTCCAAAGTCATCAAATAATCCAATATCCATAAATTTGAATTTGTGCCAAAATCACCAAACAATCCCAAGGTAATTTCTACACGCTTCTTTCTTTTATCTTAATATTCTGTGTTTCACTTTTCAGGGTTTCTATTTTATTGTAACAAAGTTCCTCTTATTTTGTATCAAATTCCAATTTTGAAAGAACCAAGCATTTTTTAAAGAGTCACTGAAATGTTTCCTTTGCCATTAGGTGGCACTCTAGATTATGTCCAAGTTCCACCCTTTCTTTCCACTTTCTTTTCCCTATTTGAGGCTTTTAAGTTTCAATAATTCAATGAATCCAATTATTTCTTTTTAACACTTTCAAATTCAGTATTTAATTATGCCTGTTTTAGTGCCAGAACATCCAATTTAAACAAATATTTTCTTCCTCTTTCAATTTCGCTCCGCTCAAAGTTCAAAGCTTCTTTTATTTATTTCCACATCCCCCCAACCCCCCGGTTGCTGCTTTGTAGTCTTTCTTAAAAATTCCTTTATATTTTAATTCCGGGGTACCTTTATGTCCATAATGTACCTGGTTTGCCTGGTCTTCACACTGTCCGCTTCTTCACTGCTCCTGCACAATCTTATGTCACGGCTAGCCTTCCGTCTTCAGGGTAGCCATATTTGACCACTGCTACAGCCCATCTTTGAGGGGAGTATGTCTCCCAGGGAGGGGAGATGCAGCTTCCTCAACCCAACTGGTGGTTCCCACTTTTCCATCACCCTCCAGGGGTATTGTTCCTGACAAATGCCTCTCCCACTGGCACCTCCTTATATCTCAGTCTCCAGGTGGCTCAGTCTGCATTGTTCTCACCTCCTCTCTTCTCTCCATGCTCTAGGATCAGGAGGAGGTGGTCCTTGCTCTTCATCTGAGCTGTGTCTCTCTTGCTCTTCCCTCTCTGTAAACCTTTCTAATCCTTAAAAGCCTTGCTTGGACTGACTCTGCCCTTCCCCAGTTTCCTCCAAGGCCAACAAAGCCACCCTTTCAATCTCTGTCGGCTCTTGTTCCAGCTCATCTTTCCCTGCAGATTCAGACTCTGATGGGGGCATGACAACCCTTTTAAGGATTATATATTAATAGGAAAGCAGCTAACTTACCTCTGCACCTAAATGCTAAAACTGTTGCAGATTAAAAAAAAAGAGTAAGAGAGAGTAAGGGTCTGAGGGAAATCCTGTCTAGCATTTGGCCACCAGCAGACCTGCTTGCCTTTTGCCATCCTATTGCTGAGGATGTTTTGGTTACAAAGCTGGGTCTCCTTGCAAGGAGAGGCAGTGGGTCTCCTCTGACCCACACACATTGCCCTCCTGCACACACCATTAGCAACCTGGCTAAGGAGAACATGAAAGCTGTCCATACCCACACCAGCCACACTCATCCTGACACCCTCCCCCCAAGGTCAACCACAACCCTGATGTGGCCCTCAATGAAATTGAGTTTGACACCCCTGATCTATATCTATTTTAGAACAATTAACGGATATTTTAAAAAGTTTCAATCTTTTCATATGTTAAAAGAATGATTGTTTACTTTTTTAATTATTATCCTATGATTTAATTAATTAAATAATGACTTTCTTTAAAAAACGTATAAAAGTTTCTGGACTAGTTTGAAATGTATTTTCCTTCATATTTAGGTACTAATACAATAGATGAGATTATCTGGAGCTCAGAGTTGAACTATGGTGATCTCTGAGCCTGTTTGTTTTCTTGCAATTGTTTTTTTCTCCAGTTAGGTAATATCTTAAAATGATGTTTAATTAAAACAATATTTGCTAGATATAATAATTCATGCCTAAAGTGAATTGAATCAAATACTTTATTTTCTATTGATTAATGGGATCAAACTATCTCCTATTCCCTTGTTTGATAATATTTTATCTGGGTAATATAGTTTTTATTAAATCTATTTTTCATCATGGATTTGATGGGGCACATGATTGATGAAATAGTTTAAAATATCTTTTGATGCTCTTGCATGCAATTCCCATATTATACAAAAATGAAGAGTATCAGTTTTGTCCACACATTTCTGCTCGTAGAAGTGCTTAAGATTCTAGCCATTGCATGTTTATATATGGATAACATTTTTGTTTTAAAATCTAACTGATCCTATCTAACTTTTATACTTCATTTGAGTAGCATTTCACATATCCTGAATAAAATTAATATGAAATATATATTTTCTAAGGATAGGTTTCCAAAGGTTAAGAGTTAATAAATAGGTAATGATGGAAGTTAACATCTATGCAGGAAATAGAAAAGTACAAAACTCACACTTCTTTAAAATGAAATAATATCTGACCAAAATGTCTTGAAAGAGCAACTTTGATGTCCTTATTTCTCAAGCTGTAAATAAATGGATTCATCATGGGTGGAAAAATAGAATATATAATACTAATTATGAAGTCAAAGTGGGAAGGACTGTCAGATATGGGCTTCAGATAAGCAAGGGAACCAGTAAAGAAAAATATGGAGAAGACAATAAGGTGTGGCACACAAGTAGTGAAGGCTTTTTTCCTCCCTTGAACTGAAGGAATTCTCAGAACAGCATAGAAGACATGCACATATGTCACAAGAACAAAAATAAGACAACACAATACTAATGTAGCACTGAAGATTAGAGCTACAATTTCAGATACATATAAACCAGAACAGGCAATCTTAAGTAAATATGGGACTTCACAGAAGAACTGGTTTACATTATTAGAGCAGAAAGGAGTCATAAATGTAAAAATAGTGTGTAATGAAGCATTGAGAAAGCTGGCTGTCCATATGCTGCCAATCATTTTGATGCAAGCCTTTCTGTTCATTATCATTTCATATTGTAAAGGGTTACAAATGGCAACATATCGATCATAGGCCATAACAGTAAGGAGAGAAATATCACAACTCAGGAAAAAGAAGAGCAACATGACTTGAGCAACACATCCAAAATAAGAAATAGTCCTTGTGTTCATAAGAAAATTAAAAACAGCTTTGGGGA